AGTGGCCGGGAGTGGCAAGTTCGAGGAGGAAGTAGCAGCAGTGGCGGGGTGTGGCGATTTCGGGGAGGAGGGAGCTGCAGTGGAAGTGTGTGCCAAGCTAGCTGGCCTGCGGTCGCAGGGAGGAGCAATCAGAGGACGGCAGACGTGGGGAGGGAGACAAAGTCTCGGCCGGAGGCACAGAGACAACATGAGGCTCGATCAGCATATCTGGGCCAGCAGAGGTGGGGACGTTAGACTCAACCACCACATGGGCCTCGTTCAATCCATCCAGGGAGGAGAGGGGAGGCGGCCCAGATGCCTCCAACTGAGGTCCCCCGGAGAGATCATCAGCCCGAGGCCCATCAGATTCTCCTCCTTCAGCAGGACGCATCGAAGGCCCACAGGAGAGTTCCAGAGGGATCTCAATCCGTGGCCTGTCATCAATCCGCCCGACATCAGTATCTCTTTTGCCTTCCACCGCCGTATCAGCGGCAATGCTCTCCTTAAACACATATGCACGCGTGCAGGAGCCCTCGAGCAACAGCCCCGCGATAACAGCATCGTCCGCAGTCACGATCTCCTTGGTTCCAGTGCGGTCTGCATCGGAACCACGCGAAGCGACATCACATCGCGAGGCCTCAGCAGACATGGCCGACCGATCATCAATGTCGAGCATGACAGTTGAGGAGGGATCCCTGGCCGCCTCATGGACTCGAGAGCCCAACCTTTCGTGGACCGAGGCCCTGCCACCTAGCCGGAGGACGTAGCTTCGCCCGGCCGCGGCCTGAGCCGGAGAAGACGACGGAGAAGAATGAGTCCTACGACACCGGCGATGATCACGATCTTCATCTTCATCTTCGGGGGGTCATGGTATGCACCAGGCTCGACGAGGGGACGAACCGTGACCTTGATGGGGTAGCTTAACGTCCTCACGTCGGAACCACGCGCCAGAGGAGGCTCCACGATCTCCAGCGTCATCTCAGGGGGGAAGAGAGCGGGATCGGAGCACCAAGCCTTCACAATGAACACATCGCGTCGATCAGCATTGCCCGGGTGCAGTCCATCAATCCAGCAGAGCTCGTCCAAAAGAACTTCAGTGGTCGCCAAATTCCAAGCATGGGCAGGGATGCCCACGAGCTCAACTTCTACGGCCACCAGAAGGCTCGCCACCGAGGTCTGGATAAACCTCGTCCATCGCACGACATGCATCCGGGCAGAGGTGATGACGATGGGGCGACCTCCATTGTAGACAATGCCATCAAGTTCCTCATTAGGCAAGATCAAGAGGAAACTGGACGGACCCCAGGGATGTAGGGTTAGTCGAGTTTTGTCGATCTCAAACCTAAGGGCAATTGTGGCACGTATGAGCTCTAACCCGGCGTCCCCAGGACCTCCTAGCCAGGTGATGACCAGAGCGCAACGCAAGGCATCCTCGCTGCGGGAGAGCCGATCCGACCAGTCCAGAATGCGCGCTCGGGACGCCGGGCGAGAACGGCACGGCACCATCGCACGACCCGACGATAGGCACCAGGAGGGGGTGGACAGGAACGTCTTCTTCCTCGCCGGTGTCATCACCCGGGAAAGCCGCACCCGCCACGGAACGCGCCCTCCGCGATCGACGACGCCGCTTACGCTTGTGCTCCTGCCACCGCCCGAGGCCGAAGGCTGCGCGCCCGCTCCGCCACCCGTGGCAACCAGAGGCTGCATGGCCGGCGGTCGCGACGCCTCCGAGACTTTAGGACACTAGACCAGCTGCCTATGGCCAAAAGGAGGGCGGGGACGCCGGGATGGGCAGGCGTCAGAGCGATGCCCCAGACCCCGGCAAGCAAAGCACCTCGGACGGGAACGGCAGGACGCGGCCTTGTGAGCGGTGGATAGGCAGTTGAAGCAGCACCCACGAAGATCCACCGGGACTGGCCGCCGAGGGGGGAGCGCCCGCCAACGGCGCTCACGGCAGCGACGTCGACTCTCCTTGGTTACCCAACCATCCCGGTCAAAAGAGCGCCCCGGCAGATTTAACGCGACGGTCGCATTGGCGAGAGATAATCCGGCAGCGCGCGAGGAGGAGGAGCGCTGCGCCATGACGACGAGGCGACCACGAGAGCCGGCCAAGCAAGGCGGCGACCTCGGTCCGGGCTGCGTGAGCAAGCGAGCCGCCACCGCCCAAAAGGACGTCCTTGAAAGAGAGGACCTCAGAGGAGGATCCGGAAGATGGGGAGGCGTCTCTCCACCGCTGGCCCTTGGAGCGCCCGACCATGGCACCAGGGGTAGAGAGGAAGATTTCCTCCGGCACCGAAGAGGGAGAGGATTGGGTGGTCGCCGCGCCCGGAGTAGGCTGCGGCAAGCGGCTGGTGGAGCTAGGGGACGGGGTGACGTCGGGAGGTGGAGGGGGAGCGGGAGCGGGAGCGACGAAAGCCATCCCGTGAGATCACATATATAACATATAATACCTGCCACTTTACATCACGTGCACCCAACAAATATACTAGTTCATATAACTAAAGAACACTAAATTGAGTATTGCATACAACTTGAGATAAGAATGAAAAGTTTTCAGATAAATCTCTACTATATGAAGAAGGAAGTGTCTGTCCCGTCTGCCAAACGGTTTTCTTCTGCCTTCATTGTCCACACCTCCTCGCTCTCGCTCGTGCGTCGCGACGTCCACAGAAAAACTGGATCTTCTACCTTCGTGTGTGAACAAACAGAGATGGAGAAAACCAACCGCATGTCCACACTAATCCGCCTCGCCCACCCTCACCCACGCCCACTGCCCGGCCCAGCTGCCTCCGCCCACCCCCTCCGCGCCGGCTCTACCCCGCCCTTGCCCACGGCTCCGAGCACGCCCGCCTTGCCCTGCTCCAACTGGTGATCGAGGGGAGAGGCGATGGCCTACTCTGACACCCCCAGGCACGGCTCGGCTTGGCCTCCTCCATCCTCCCTCGCTGCGCCGGCTCCGGCCTCCCACCCGGCTGCGAGTCTAGCTTGAGGTAGCCAAGCAGGATCCGCGCCCTTCCTCATCCGGTTCGGCGCGTGGCCTTCCTTCCCCTGCGTGCTCCTTGTGCTGGTGGCCACCGTGATCGCCGCTGAGTTGAGCCTCGCCATCCTTCCGGTGCACGTCCAACAGAAACTGCTGCTCCAGACCATGACACTCTCCGAACAGTAGACACTAGCTAGAGAATGAGCATAAAAACCAAACAACAACAACAACAACAACAAAGCATTTAAGTCCCAAACAAGTTGGGGTAGGCTAGAGTTGAAACCCATCAGAAGTAATCAAGGTTCAGGCACGTGAATAGCTGTCTTCCAAGCATAAAAACCAAACATTTCGTAAAAAAATTATGTGGTTCCCGTTGCAACGCACGGGCAAGAACCTAGTTGAATTATAAGGACCAACAGCTATCAATTGTTCTAGCCTGTAAATATATCATGGGAGAATTGGTTTCATAGCACTAAAAGAACGCGAGATTCAGAAAATACCATCGAAAGTTCATCATACCGTAAAATACCATTGAAAGTGAATATCCATTCTGCAATCTAGCACTCCATTACTTTTGCTGTTAACGTCGTTTGTTGGCATTCGTTCGTGGACTCCGCTTCACTAAAAAACGACGTGTACGTCGCGTCAACCTAAGCAGGCCGCCTGCAGTGGTGAGCCTCGTCCCACGGACATCGGAGCTCAAGCCCGGCGCCTGTCCTTGCCTCGAACGCTGCCACCGAGCACTCCACTCCAGCCACGCCGCCTACGTTGCGGAACCACGCTCACCCCGGCTCGCCGGCCGCCGCCGCCGTCGGAGGTGCACCGCACCAGCCCACGACTCTGCCGCGAGACCGAGCAGACGCCGGAGGTCGCAGCCCACAGAGCACTGTGGCTGCCGGAGCTCCCACACCGAGCCGAGTCGCGGTCAAGACGGAGCACCCGCGACGCTGCCGAAGCCGATGTCACACCGGGAGGCTGGAGCTTAGCGCCACTGCTCTCTCTCTCTCTCTCTCTCTCTCTCTCTCTCTCTCTCTCTCTCTCCGCTCGCCCGCTTGGGAAGGGGCGTAAAGCCCGTGAACGGGAGAAGCCATCCGGGCACCGGCACCCTCTCCCATCCTGCAAGACGGCAATTGTGCATCAGCCTTGCCATTGCTGCTACTACAAGCGAGCCATGCCCGCAGCCCACGAGCACAAGTCGTCAGCGATGCCAAGCACCGCGAAAAGCCAAGACCACCTCCGCCCACACTCGCATCCTTGCTCTACCACCGCAGCGGCTGCCCTGTGTTAATGCAATGTGCAATGTCACTAACAAAGTAACAAGGAGAGGAAAAAAGCAAGAACACAAGAAGAACACCTCCATCATGGGCGACACAGGCTCGGTGAAGTCGGATCGACTTATCACACTCGGTGAGCTCGGCATCACCTTGGCGTGGCGCTACCATTCTCCAAAGCATGGTGCGGGAACGGCTGCTGGACCTTGACGCCCAAAGCTGTCAATGGCAATTGCGACGCCGGGCTCGTCTTGATGGCGCACCTTCGTGAAGCCGGGCCGAATCTTGGTGATGTTGATGGCTTGCCCGTGTCGGCGGCCTCGCATGCATGAGGCTGCCAGCCGCCAGCAAGCAGCAGGGTGGCGGCGTTGGCCTCGGCCTCGACCTCGGTGTGGCGCGCGTGCAGGGAGGTGACCTTGTCCCCAGCCACAGCAGCGTTGGGCCAGGAGGCACTCAGCCTCCATCCTGGCAGCGTGGTGGCCGATTAAGTTCTCGGCAGCGCAGGCGCAGCTACCACAGCTGGTCCTGGGCGATGGAGCTGCATGCTAGACGGAGAGCCACTGGATTGGGAAAGAAAGGTGCCTGGGTGGAGGGATTCACGTCGACAGCAACCAGCGTGACAGAATGCTATTTGACGGTAACAAACCATTCTTTCATTGGTATTTTCCGTGACGGACATCTTTCGGTGGTATTTTCCAAATGTTGTGATCTTTCGATGCTATGAAACCAATTTTCCCATATATCATTGTCCCCAGGAGCAGAAAGCCAACCTTTCAGATGCATCTACTTTGGTCCTTAACTCTTCTAGTTCCACTTCAGCAAAGGAAAGCCTTTGCTGGCATGCAGCTTCAGCTTCATTTGCTGCTTTAACCCGAAGCTCAAGACTATGCTCCTCTAGATTGCTCCTCAAATATTCAGCTTGATTGCGAGCTCGGGTTTCTGATTCTTCAATATCAGCAATTCTCCTAGATGCACAATGTAGAGAAAATGATTGTGATATAATGAATCAAATGTAATATATATGTTGTTCAAGAAAATGAAATATATATATGTATGTAAATGTGATTCTTGCATTATACATACATTTCCTCAATCATCCACTATTCAACCTAAAAGAATAGTTGCAGTACCATGGCTAGCCTTCTTGTTTTTTTAAATTGTTTAAATTTTAAATTCTCTGAACTATTTGTCTCTTGTTACCAACAATATTTCGAGTCCTATATCAAATAGTCCACCTAATTGCAACTTCCAGGTAAAGTTAACAGTTATCACGTTTCCTAAGATCTTGATAGATGTTAGACCGGTCATGATTATTCAAAGATAGCACACTTAGATAGCTAACATTGGCAGATACATACATGAAACCCGCATGCACAGCAATAAATTAAAAAATTAACAAAGTGCATAGACCATGATATAGGCTCAGTCCCCTTTACCATTTACCACTGCTATTATTACTGTTACTAATACCTCTTTTTAATCGTTTAGCCCTTTTTCTCATGTTTAAGTTTCATCTCCAGCCTACCCCCAACTTGCTTGATAATAAATTAACTTTAAGAACATGAGCAACTATAGCAATAAATCTATTTATTTAGAAACCATTGCTTTGAAGAAGCTCTAAGAATCATAGAGCAATTTACATACTATCAGCAAATATAGCAATAAATCTATTTATTTCGAAAATATTGCTTTGGAGAAGCTCTAAGAATCAAAGAGCAATTTACAAACTATCTAACAATCCTGAGGTATTGTACATCTAATTTTAAAGCAGATAATCATCCTGACTCCTGAGAGAACAGAAATGCCATCAAATAACCAGGAAAAAAAAAGAATATAACAATGAGGACAGTTCAACAGTACAATTACAAACCATTTTAAAAGTGGCATACCTTTTAAGCATTAAAAATTGATGTAAAAAATAATGGCCAAGTTTTACCTTGACTCAGGACTTTCTTTCGCGTACATATCTGCAATAAACTCCAGCTCCTGCTTTTCCTGCTCCAACTCCTCAACCTGAATGAAATTTCATTGACAAAATATGAATGAAAACCCTGCAACCTACTCCCTCCCTCCTGTGATACAATGCATTCCAAAAATTTTAAGACAACTTAAGGGAATGCTCCAATGATGCATGCACCCATGGATTAAACCCAATTAAGGAGTTTCTTCCCAAATTATGGCTTCCTTTTTAACAAATTTTGTCAAGTCTGAGCATGGGCACCATATAGAATGCCTTATATTTCAGTACAAATTTTAGAAGTCATAATGCACTATATTTCAGGACAGGAGGGAGTATCATTTAACTGCAACTTGTGCTCGGAATTTGCATCCGTGAATGCTAATTAAGATTTAGTTTCAAGAAGAGAAAAGGAATATAATTCATGATCAAGCTACCCGACAGTAAATAGATGGTCCAAACCTTATTTTGTTACAACATACACAGCTCATGCGTGATTTTACTTTTGATACAAATCAAAGACTTGAATATGGGCATGCAGGCCATTGAGGAACATTTTTTACAAGCTAACTGCAAAGCTGATTACATATTGATACATGAAATTGAAAGACCAAATGCTATGTTAGTCGACAATATACTAGTGTATTTACAGAAGCTAGGAATCAAGTCTATTATTAAAATGCTGTACTAACCAATCAAGCTCTTCACCATTATAACGCTAAATGTCCTTGCTAGCACAAAGACAAAAACTTGATATAGCTGCTACTGGTGTCTTTGAGTTCCACAACTCGAAGAAAGACCAAGGAAATACACTAACTTTCCCAGGGGGTGAATAGATGTATCAATTTCTCATGCTCTTAGCACCACCTTTAAGGAAACAGAGAAGTTTTTAGGATAACATACCAATGCCTTGAGGGACTTGATCTCAATTACTTGTGAGTTGTATTTATCGGATATCTTCTTGTGTTCCTCAATCTGAAAATTCAACATATTTTCATCACATGTACTAGTCATTTTACTAGCTCTTTACAATGTCTGACTCTACTGAAACATTTTTTAGAAATTCAACGTAACACCATCATACAATTATGCAAGATGGCATCAAAGTATGCATGTCTATTGACTCCACTCTATCCCACAGTGGTCCCACGCTAGTCCTACTTTGACATGAGCAGTATGATAGTCAGAATGCAGTGAGCCAATTAACCAAATGAACTCAACTAAATCCAAAAATCTAAAATTCCAGACCCATTATGCTGTGCATTGCTTTATGCTCACAGATATCCAATCCCTAGAGTATTAAGTATTAACTTCATTCAACTTAACCATAGTCATCATAACCTAAGCATATACTGATGCCAGTCCTACTCCGAAAACAATGCATTGGACTTCAAATGATTATATTCTGAAATTAGTGAGTTATGTGGAGAATCCACAGTGATAATAAACAAAATAAGGTAATGCTCCATGGGTATACTATATATGTCAGACAGATGAATGGAAAATGAGGAGTACATCAAGAGAAACCAGGGAAAATCTAAACTTATGAACTGAAGGGCTGGATGAAGAATAGCATGGAACCACAACTCCACAAGCATGTACTTTCAGTCGTTATGGGTGTGAACTGGCACCACCACCCAGGTTCGGTCCCAAGACTGGCAGGGTGGGGAACCAACCATCACTTTGATATTAGGGGAGAAAAAGAACTGAGTGGAAGAAATATATGCATGAATGTTTTTCATGAGTGCATGGGAAGCTAACTTCCGACAGGCTAAGCTTTAAAACAACGTTAGGTTACATGAATAAGAATATTACAAAACAACTCGACATAGGCAAAATAAAGGAAATGGTATGCAAGGAATGGTTAACCAGATCAAAGACAAACCTTTTTAGCTACCAATGATCTTAATGATTCTGCTTGCTCACGCAATGCAAGTGCTTCAGAAGCTGCATCCTTTGATCGGCTCAACTGATTCTCCATCATACCCAGTTCATTGGAGAGTGCTGCGGCCATAACATGGATCTCATCCTTGAAGTCTTTCTTACCTAAGAGGATAAATGGAAACAATCAAGAAGAGATGAGCAACTGACTCCCCCCCCCAACACACACACACACACCCTCCTCCTCAAATAAGGTGCATATGTGACAGGTCCCCTCTACCTGAATCTTGCAAAGTCTCCTCAACCTTGGTTTCAAGATCATTCTTTTCAGAAAAGAGTATCTGAATTTGAGTTTCCAGTTCTTCAATTTTGGTCTCATATGTGGTAATGGTTTGTTTAATACTGTCGACTGATTCTGATTTTGCACAGATTTCTTTCTCCCTTTGCATGAGCTGGTCCTTGTCATTCTAAATTCACACAATGAAGAAAAGCTGGGAAAAAACAAAACAAATGCAACACAAAGCAGTATAACAGAGGACAGACACCAAACCTGTAAAACTTCAACCAACCCTCTATAACGCTCTATCTCAGCATTCAGATGCTGTAGTTTATCATTAAGAATCATGTACGGTTTGGATACCAAGACATACTTCTCATCTTTCAATTGCCCCTGCATGCATAGCACAGTGAAATAAGAAAAAACAGGATCCAACTTAAAATACAAAAATGCCAACCCTGCACTACAAATCAAGGTAACAACCTCAAGATCTCCCAGCTCCTTGGATAGTATCAGATTATCCTCTTGAGTCTGATGGAGTTCTAATAGACGGTTTCCTGCGAGGGTCTGCACTCAGTTGGGAAAATTCCACAAATTAGCAGTGAAAGATCAAACATACCACTAAAAGATGAAAACTGAGAAGATAGGACTTCCAAAGAGGATCCAAAGAAATTTGAAGATTAACATGATTACAGTTCACAATTACCTTAGCTGCATCAACAGCATCTTTGAGGTCTTGCCAGCTCATACTTTTATCTGAAGATTTATGAGTAGAAATACCACCATTCACAGCATTTGCCCCGGATGCATCCATTACAGAACCATGCCTCTGCAACTGGAGCACAACCAACTTCCTTCGACTTTCCTCAAGCTCTGCAGTGCTTTCCTCTAGCTCACCTGCAATCCAATGAAAGCATTTGCATTATGAGTTTGTTTAGTTTATAGACCGTGTTAGCCAAACTACAATGGTCAGACTCATGGGTGGATCCTATATGGATGTTCGGGTATTCCTGGGAATACATTACTGTCATGCTAAAAAACGAGTATATATGTATATACAATTATACATGCGTGTATTTTAGCTGGGTCACGTTCTTTGTTCTATGTCATGCATTTTCAGCCCGAAAAATCCAAAAAGCCCACCTGCTATCCAGGTAAACTAACCACAGCACCACAGCAGGCCCATTAAGGGGTTGATCCCTCCCCCTCAGCACTTCACGGTTTACACTCGTGCCTGTTGCCACCCCTCTCGTGACTCTCGGTCTCTCTTCTCTCCTTTTTTCTAAAACACACACGAAAGCTGTGTATCATTACATTAAGAATTAAGAAGAATAAAAAAGGGGAAAAGAACCCCCATACAACATCACACTCTCACACCTCCATTATGTACAAGCTTTCTTCACTCTCTCTGTGCATCCCGTTTGATCTTGCAATAGTTAATGCATGCTGCCCTTAATTATGCATCATCTCCAATCTAGAACCACAGGGCACCAGAAAGAAACCAAAAGGTCTATGGCCTGCATCGTATTAACTCACTCAAGACAAACAAAAACATCATCCTCCCGTGTAACAAATGGATGGCCCCAACTCATCACAACGAAGGTGAACTTTCCCACTAGTCTTCACAGGAGCAGCATAATCATGAACAAAAAAAATAAGCCATAGTCACTGATCTCCGTACTTCTTGAACACAGCAACCCATCAAGCAGAAGCCACCAGATGCAGATTTGTTATCCTCTTCTTCCAATTCAACTATTTCATCTCCTCCTCGGCTCCTCTGGTCTGCGACCACCACCTTATCCCAGTTGGCAGACTCCAAGTATGTTGCGCATTTGCAATTCCCAGCTTTGATCATCACCATGTTTCCCCTCAGTTTAGCAGTCACACGGCATGCACGCATCTATCAGTGCTTCATTCCCAGGAGCTTTGCCTCCCAGCCATGCACGCATCTGTCAGCGCTTCATTCCCTGGAGCTTTGCCTCCCAGCCAAGCACAGCACCAGCAGGTTGCTCCAATCTCTGACCACCTCCAACCAATTGGTTTACACAATTCAGGCTCCACAGCGGAATACCAGCATGAGCAACACCATCCCTTCATTAACAGAGTAAGCTGCTGCTCAGCACATCTTTGGAGCGAATAAATGGTGTACAGATGGCTTCGTAGCTATACTGGATCAGCTACAGTTGCAGGATGATAATTTCATGTGACAGTGACAGGATATATGCACGAGCAATTGACACAAGCAATTGATTTTACAGGATCATAGGATTACTGTATTACGTAACTTAATCTGCCTTTCTAGAACCCATTTATTGTTCCAACTTCTAGGCTGATAGAGCAGGATAGTTGATCCTCACTGATCATTTGATCAAACATCACTAAATTGTTAGTTAACATTTCAGATCATGCATGAAGACCCTTTGCTACCTGCTGCTGCTTTCGCGTTTGGAGAACGTGGAGCGCATCTGTCCTATAGTATTCTCCCATCTTTGCTACTCAAGCGTGTTCGCATAAGACTCCGAAAAGCAGATCATTGCTCTCAATTGTTTTTTTCTGAAATCATTAGCTCTAAAATGTCTATGAAAATCCATCTGTTGAATTTGTCTTAAACCATCCTGTAGCAACGCACAGGAAATTCACCTAGTATCAGTACAATCTGAACACCCTGCTAAATAAATATGCAGAGCATGGCATAAAGGCCCATTGCAAAACCAGAATTTATTTCATATAATATGGCAATTTTTTAATTATACAGCAAAAAAATGGCATGGTGTGTTCGAATTTAGCACCCGCATTCACATATACTCCTTCCAGTGTCCAGTCAAAATATTCTTAAGTCAACCATTCAAGACTCCGGTCACAAATTACTTTTTGTGTTGAGCTTTGATATTTGATGATCATACGAGTAGTTTTGAATCAACAATAGTGTCATAATAATAATAATATACTTTTGTTTTTATGTATTACAAATTTATTATAACAAAAAAATATAGTCGAAGTTTTTTAGACGTCATGCCAATGTCCAAAACCATCACCTATTTGTGACTCAGGGGTAGTAGTACATTACATAAGTGGGGAGAAAAGTCAAGAGCTGTGAAGGAATCGTCTTAAATGCGGATGCAGCAAAATTTTACCCAAACTGAAGCCAGATGAAGATTTTAATACCTGAAATACGCTTGATTTCCTGTAGCTCACTTGAATGGTTGCTTTTAAAAACCTCAATCTCATCAAGATACCTTTTGTGCTTCTCGTTGATAATAGAGATAGCTTGACTCGCATTCTCAGCCACCTCTTTCAAGCAATCATTATGATTTCGAAGGGCAACAATAACATCTAAAAAAAGATACAGGTTAATCGAATGGAAAATGGGTAGAGAACTTAGGTGCAGAGTAAATAAGAAGGAAAAATGTGGAAAATTCCCTTTCTACCTTCATTTGACTTCTGTCCATTCAAAGCTAAAGACAAAATTCACTTCTAGCTTGCTGTGAAGAAATAGTCTCTTGCAGGGACTTCATCAGAGTAACAGTGGCCGAACACCGAAAAGCAAGAGCTTCTTCAACAAATTCCAACAAGCTAGTGTCATTATTATCTCTGACGTTGATTGACTTCAAGAGCCTTAAGAGAAATATCTCCTCAGAAGGACACGACTCCAAAGATTCTGAGGAACAATAAGTACACAATCAGCTAAAAAAGCATCACTGCTGAAATGAATTGGACCTTAAAAGGCAATGTTAATCAAATTTACCGCAACCTTCTGATAACTCTTCATGGTCAAGTGCTTGCAGATTATCCAAATCCCCACCAGCCCGTACTCCAAGCAGAACCAAATCATCAATCAGCTATAATATACATAAACATAATGAGAAACATGCTGGAGTGGAAAAGGTCCATAGAGAAATTTTCATATCAGACACAAAGGAAAGAACCTGATTCCACAGTTTATTCAAAGAAATCAGAGTCTTGTCATAAGAACATTGCTCATCTCTCAGCTCCTTGAACTTGCGCTCCAATGCATGCATTTCAGACTTCTGTGCCTCCAGTTGTTGCACCAACTTTTGGTTTTCATATTGAAGAGCTGTGGAATCCATCTGTAAAAATAAAGTAATAATAACGAAAACGCAAAACGTCAGATCCTACAACAGAAAAATGGGGACTTTAAAAGGACACCAAAGTAAAATGTAAAATCCAGCAAACAAACTTTCAGAATTACTCAAGTAATAGAATCACAGGTACTCAGTTTTTATGGTCAGCTTGCAATTTTTTCAGACCAAATTACAACTGAAATTTTGAGTTCTATATTATAGCATTATTACTTGAAATTTGTTTGTTTTCGGTTTGTGACTCTGGTGAACCAAACAAAAATGTTGATCATGCCGAAGCATTGGTGAGAAAAGTGTCGGTGTTTTGGACCGGGGGTCCTCAACCAACTAGTGAAAGTGTACTGCGTGTTTCTAATCCAGGATGGTGATGCAAAGAGACACAAGGATTATACTGGTTCAGGCAATAGGTGTCCTACGTCCAGTCTGAGAGAGCGATCTTGTATTCCTTGCACCGAGGTGCTTGTAGTAGGGGCTTACAAGCTGAGCGAGAGAGGGTGCTAGTCCCAGGTCTCTGCGTGGAGTGGCGTGGGTTGCTTGAGATGTTGATCTCTTGCAGTGAGGGAGCGTATGTGTTACAGAGCGTTGCGCGTTGCTTGCCTGGGTGTGTGTGTGTGATCTGATCCGATCTCTCCTCCCTAGGAGCGGCCCCGGTCACTCCCTTTTATAGCCGAAGGGAGGCACGGGGGCGGTACATGTATTTGCTACATGGCGTTTCTGTTTGGCAGAGGCGGCATGTCCGAGCCCCTCAGCACTTGTCACTTTGTGGCGGTATGGTCGGTGGAAGCGGTCTTGTCTTTGGTGCACTTTGAGCGCTTGATCCACGCCTCGATCTCTGCGGCGTGGGAGCTCTCGTGGTCTGGTCGACGGCGTGGCGCGTCATCATGGGCGACGAGAAACCGAGGCTCAGTCGGTGCAGAGGCTGAGCCATTGTGGGGGGGCTCGGCGGGTGCAAGCCTCGAGGCTACAGGGACCCGGGAGCGGTTTAGCCGAGGCTCGGAGAGAGCAGTTGGCCTTGTGCGTCGATTCCAAGGCTACAGATCCCGGCATGACTTTCCATGTCGCTACCGCCTTGGAGCGAGGGTTAGGTAGCACAACAGCCAGCACGGCGTCGATCGTGGGCACGATCTGAAACACAATGGCCGGTAACCCCCGCCTCGTCCTGTCCCGGATGGCAGGGCGTTGATGTGACTTCCGTCTCGTCGGTCACTCCCGTTATCTTTATGCCATCGTCAGGGCCGACGCCGTGGGAGTGGTTGAACGCTTCAGCTTGGATATGACGCCCGTCGAGAGAAGTCGGTCAAAGCGGCGGCGGGGGTTGATGCTTGAGCCGCCTCGAGCGAAGTCGAGACCGGGTGCTCGTCCCGAGGCCTCATGGCGCGGGGCCTCGGGCGAGTCGGAGAATCGGTGGCTCGTCCGAGGCCTCGTGGCGCGGGGCCTCGGGCGAGTCGGAGAATCGGTGGCTCGTCCGAGGCCTCGTGGCATGGTTCTGGGCCGAGCCTGCTTCGGTTGTGCCTGGATGTTGTTCGAGGTGGGCCGGGCCTTGGATGTGGCGGGTTTGCCTGCGGTTGTATTTTGGTTTCATTATTTACAAGGTCTAAGCAATTTTTTCGGTCTTTGCTTAGGGTACCCCTTCTTATGGTATCGGACAAAAAGGATGTTGGGCTGTGGCTGTAATGATTCACAAGCAATGCAAAAATAATAAGGAAAAATGGTACTTGGACAGAAGCCATGCCAAAGTTTGCCGAAACTGTGAGTATGACACATGCCACTAACTTATTTTAGCATCAAAACAAAGACAGCGCAGATCTTCATTAATTGATCTGATTGTAAGTAATACAACAGTTCAAATGGATTGCATCATTGTACATCAGATGCATGGTTGAGAAGATATGTTAATCAGAAGATTGATAACAAGAAAATGACACGTTTAAACAGTCAGTTGAGCTAATGGAGCATAGGAGCAGCGACAGGTTGTTGCAGCTGCCTGCGAAAGAACTGATGGCAAGGTTAGGGATGTACCTAGCGTGGGGCGCTGGGTACGGGGTTTTCAGCTGAACCTCAAAAAAATACAATGGATGGGTTGATTAGCACTCCATCATGTAGCAAGGTAATCCGCTAGTACCATATGGAGCAAAGAAGAGAAATTCAGGTTTGATTCCTGACACCTTCCATCGAAGAACTCAGCTAATTCCACCTAAGCAAGTTAGGGTTCCTTACCTACGGAAGAATTCAATCCCAGGTCTGCACTGGTCTCCACTCCACGCCAATCCAATCCAACCCCTGGAGTACGACGAGGAAGAAGACTGCGAGGAAATGAATCCCTCCGCGTGGCCGGCGAGCTCCGATGGGGTGGAGCAGGAGGCGGGTTCGGCGCCGCCTGCACGCGCTTGGGCGCGCAAGGCCGCGTGCCCGTGCCCGGGGGCAGAAGGAGGCTCGGGAAGGCGAAGAGGCAGGCAAGTGTGCGCGGAGGGAAGCCTCTTGTGCGCCCGGCCGCTTTTGGCGGGTTGGTCCGACGGGAGACGAGTCGGCGCCGGCGGGCGAGCTCGTCGGAGCAGCGGCGAGAGAGGCAAGCGGCGGAATGTGCTTCCGCTGATCCGCTCGCGCTAGACGGCTGGAGAATGTCAGCTGAACCAGCTCGCGCTAGAGTGGGCCGGGCCCATGTTTGTCTCTCTCGGCCCGGCCGGCCAGGGACATCCAGCCCACCAGGCACCAGCCGACGGCGCCGCGAACGCAGCCTGGGCCGTCGCAAGCGGCTCCGAGTCCTCCGGCAACGAACTCGTCGGCGATGGCTTCGTGACGGAGCCGCCACTGGAGCGGCAGCGGCACGGCCGCCTCCCACTCCCACTCGATGCGCATGAGAGTGGCTGGTGCAGCTTAGCTTGGCATCGTGGTGGAGATAGTGCAAGAACGTTAATTAGTACGTAGTAGACTCGTTTCAGAAGAGACCGGCCGCTTAGGTCTACTGATGGTAGCCTGTACAAATTGATAATTTGATCAGAATTACTCCACTGCAGTGCCCTGAGATTCTCAATTTCCGTTAGTCACCTACGCCCACGCCTGCGTCCAAATTTTCCGTCAGTCAGCCGCACTGTACTTCTTCCCCACCCGCGCCCGCCCCACCCCTTCTTTCCCAACTCCGGCGTGCTTAGAAAAGAAGGTTTTTGGAGTGGGGGTGGGGGGAGGAAGGCCAAACATGCAATAGGGACGGCGGCAGGGCGGGTTAGGGGCCCTGGCGCGCCCTGGCGGCGGTGGAGGCAGCCGGGCCAGGTCGGGGCGGGGGAGCTCCACGGCTGGTGCTCGCCGCAGAAGAAGGAGGGGGGAGGAGAAGAAGTCGACCGCCACAGGTGTGCTAGGGTTTCGCCAGATCCCCACGGCCGTGGGCGTGAGCTCCGGCAAAACCCTAGCGTGCCACAGTGGGACGGTGGGCGACGGCAGGGGCGAGGATGAGGAGGGAGGAGGAAGATGTGGGGTGAAAGGGAGGAAAAAGACGTCCAGAAAATGTGACTGAAGCTGTCGCCAAATATCAGACAACTGGTAAGGATGTGGACCCTAATTTGATATGGTCAACTTTGCATTGAGAATGTTGTTCCATTCGAGGCCATCATAAGCAGCCAATTATTTCCGATCAAATTTAAGCTTAATCTTTATTTGTTTGGTAATCCAAATTGCATATACTTTCATTTCCTAGTACAGTAGTACCTGACTGGCATTTCAACAAACACCGGTTATTGGCGTCCCACTGATTGTCTGATTTTGTTGAGCATGGTGCATGGAGAAGATTGATTAACAGTCATTCGGCCAAGCCATGCAAAAGCACTTGTGAGCAAATAGGAATGGAACATTTGTCCTGTTCGCTTGGCTTATAAACCGTACTTTTTCAACCAACAAATAGTATTTTTTTCTACAACAAATCAGCCAACAATACTCTCGACCGTATCTTATCAGCCAAGCGAACCGGACCAATAACACGGCAGTAGACGGTAGCGGGGAAGCAAGCAGAGAGCGCTTTTTTTTCAAATCACAGTAACGCTTGTAGTACCTGGCTTCACGCAGCCTATTTATTCATCAGTGATCAGATACTCGAAATACAAATAGTAGTACATTTTATTCCGTTCACAAGCAGTGTATCAGCAGTGATTTCTCTCGGCGCCAGCGCCACCGGACTGCTGGCTGCTTGTGGTTACGTACACCGTACACGTGCGGCGGCACTCCGACTGCCACGTAGTAGCAAACACTCCCATGCAGTGATATCGAGCGCAGAGCACACAAGGCCCCACCGCCCCGCGTCGTCACGTGGACACGTCGTCACTTGGCGTCGGCGACGACAGCGGCAGCGGCCTCCGCCTCGGCCTCCGCCTCGGCCTCGGCCTTGCTGCGGTCGGCTTCGACCCTGGCGGCGATCTCGGCGGCCTCGTGCTCCGCCGCCTCGAGCAGGAAGCTGCCGCCCTCGTCGTCCACGGCGACCTGGATGGGCTGGGACCCGAGCCCGTCGGCGACGGCGAGCATGATGCGGCGCATCTCGTCGCGGAACTCGGCGCGGTCGACGGCGCCGCTGCCGTCGGCGTCGAACTGCTCGAAGACGGCGTCGTAGAGCGCGGCGACGTCGGCCGGGAGCGGCGCCGGCTCCGCGGACCCGAACCCGGCGCCGTCGAGGAGGCGGAACGACTCGAGCGCGCGACGGAGCTCGGCGCGGGACAGCACGCCGTCGCCGTTGGCGTCCAGCGCCGCGAAGCGCGCGTCCACGCTGCGCGCGAAGGCGGGCTCGTCCGCCACGAACCCGCGCACCGTCGAGCCGTCCAGGACCACCACGCTCATGATGGCTGCTCTCTTGCTTAAACGATCTCTTCCTCCTCCTGCTGAGTGGTGGGTGGTGGAGGCTAGAGCTGGAGAGAATGGAGACAGAGACCGGCGGTTTGGTTTGGTGATTGGTCGCTTTAAATTTGATGGTGCTCGGTGCTTCCTTTGGTTTCGCGGTTGGGCTCGGCTCGGCTCGGGGCTTCAGGCGATGTTTATCCTGATCCAGTCATCCAGCAGTTGCTCGCCCCGTGATATTTTTGGGTCCGGGTGTGGTCAGTGATCACTCGTCTCATCCCACGTGCGCCCATTGATGTTGTTGTCGGATTTTCCAAATGGGCTCAATTTTTGTACTGCTAATATAAGCCAGTCCTCCGTGTGCTAGCGAGTAGCAAAACTACTAGTAGCATGGGTAGACAGACGATACGAGGGCTCTGGTTTGGTGCCAACCAGCAGTTTTACTTTGGACATTTCGATGAGATGAGCCTTCTTGTTATTATTGTTAATAACAACGCGAACCTCGCTTCTATCATTGCGACCGCCCCTTGTATTGTATTGGAAGAATCTGCCCGATGTCACGGTTTCGGTGCTCCACGGTCGACAGTGACACTCGAATGAGTGAGCACTCGACGCGGTCCCTGCTCCTCTTTTTCTTTTTTTTTCTTTTTTTTTTATCAAAGGCACTTTGGTCCTGCTTATATTGAAAGCAAAGGTTTTGCTGGGAATTCCAGCTTACAAGAACGGCACATAACTGCCAAAGTCTAAGAAGATAAAGGCTGTCCAGATTACACGCAGCATACTACAGAAGAGCTAAACTGAAGAGAAGAAAGGTAGGGGCCTGCCACGCCCGCCATCAGAAGTACTCCATACACTTCAGTAGCCTTTGATCACCACGCTCGCAGTCCCTCCTGCAGCTTCAGTAGAGTGTCCTCCATCACCTCTTGGTCCTTGGTCTTGAGAATCTTCTTCCACTGTTTCAACAGAGCCCAGACTTTATAAGCGAGAGCTTTGGGAGATTTGATAAGTTTGTTGTTAAACACCCAATCATTCCTGGACTTCCACACAGCCCACGCTAGACTAGCTATCTCAACCTCTCCAGCGTTAAGCATGTCTGGGAAGTTAGTCATCGAGATAGGTCTCCTGTTCCACCTTAGGCTAACCCGCACCCAAACCCAGATAATCTGGGTTATACTACAGTTAAAGAAAAGGTGATCTCTGGTCTCCAGGCGCCCACAGTATTTGCAAAATTCAGAATGATTGTTTTTCCTCCTCTTTAGTTGTTCCCCAATCTGCAGCCTATCATGGCATAACATCTAGAGGAAAACTTTTATCTTCAAAGGAAGCCTAATTTTTCAAAGGTCTCTCATTCTCACGTCCACTTCTCCAGGATTGACCATTAGTCTGTACAGAGACTTGCTTGAAAATATGCCTGAAGGTTCACAAGTGAAAGTTAAGCTCGGTGTCTGACGGGCGGGAGGGTGATAGAATAGGCGACTAGGGCTCCTCGACTCCGGCGAGCGGTGGCGCTCTCCCTGACGGTTCCCTCCCGCTGCAAAGTAGGAGAAGTTTTGGTGCGTTGCAGGTCAGAGTTCGTCGGCGGAAGTCTTCCTTCGTTCCTTGTAAGAGGTTTTTGCTAAGAGGGGTGCGGATCATGGTCAATCGGCGTCTCACCCTCGCATTCCCCGGCGGCGCGGAGTCGTCGGAGGCTTTCAGATGGGGATCGCATGCTGAAGTAGAGTACTCTGTTCACCGTTTCAGCCAGCCCCGTTTATTGACCAAATGGGATCGTAAACGGGAGAAGTTACATCAGGAAGATGAGATAAAAAAAAAGCTCTGTTCGAATCCCCGAAATTGGCTTGCATCGAAGAAGCAGAGTTGCGAGATGCAGCGGATGCGCTGGAGGCCACCATTGCCAGGATTCCCAAATCCAGTTGGTCTGTTGGGCGGGAGGTTGAAGACGAGAGAGAAAATATTGTTGGGCCACCTACTAGGCCGGCCCACCAAAACCAAGGGTTATCCCTATCTGACATTTTCTCCCACTCGTACACACCGCCGGCGCCGCCCCTGAGACTTTCTTCCAGATGGCTTTGGGTGCCGAAGTCAAGGGTTCTGACCGCTCCGACTAAGGGTTTCCCGACGAGCAAGGAAGAGGTCTGGAGATTTGGAGCGGGTGCCCCAAAGATCGCCCCGGCGGAGGTAAAGCTCGTTGATTCCCGTTTCTTTGCTGAAGTTACGGGTATGGATCGCTGGGGTAATGAACTAATGATAGAGGTGGGGGTAGAGGTGCTGGCTTTCAGAGGGATGGTTCTGGCCATGATGGTTCTGGTCGTGATGGATGGAGAGGTAGAGCTGGGGGTTGCAGGAAGGATGACTGGAAATAGAAATCAACACCAGAGACGTTTCGAGGGCAGAGAGGGTGGATTCAGGGGCTATGGAAGAGGTGCTGAGTACTACGATGAAGACAGGGCTGGGAGCTGAGGTTACAAGCGCAGGATGGACGAGACTGATGAGCGCCGCCTGAATGAAGATGATTTACGTCACAGGCTTCTGAGAGATCAGGAAGAGAGAGGTGGTGGATGGGACAGTAGGCCCCTGGAAGAGAGGTGCTTCCGCTGCGGTGAGAAGGGACATTACACGTCAAATGCTAATACTATTTCCTATAAATTTGGTTAAACTTGAAATAGTTTGACCGACACGGATCCATAATTACGATAGATTAGTTTTTGATGAGTGCTAATATGTTGATCGAGTGCATGATTTATGTGCCTCATAGCTTGGTAGTAGTGGTAATTAACATATTTTATTTTTAATTAGTAGATAATGTTATTGCATACATATTAGTGTGTAGTTACTTTTTATTAATTTAAATAAAATTATAATTAGTCAACTATTCTGGTTATTTCCATTCGGAGGCTCGTCCCCGGTGCTCGCATGTTGCTAACAATAGCAACGCTCATCCGCGGCCCTACAATGACCCGCTCATCTCCTACCTCACACTCATCCCCTACCTTCACCCACATCTGCCAGCCTTGCTCACCCCTAATCCCAGTTGGAGGAGGAAAGCGACACTTTACTCGCCCTCGGCGCTCGCTCAGCAGCGCCCCTGATCTTCCAATATACTCCCCACCCTCTCAAGTATATATTATATAGACTAGGTAAATACCTAGTGCTTGCAACATGGAAAAAAATGTCTCAATAATGTAAGTATGAACGTTGTTGTACTGATACCCAAAAATCACCTAGAGACAGCTGAAATATCAATACTAATGTAAGTAGGCCGCAATTTCAGTGAACAAAAAACTTTTCAGTACCGATGCTCAAATATTAGGGCACGAAAGGTATGGGCGTGTCTATATAATCAGAGTAATTAAAGACTCTTTTTTACCAAAAAATGACTAATCATAAGATTTGGCACAAAGGTATAAACTTTCAATTGAAAACAAACACATGGATAATATGTTTTCGCATAAAAAAGAAGAAAAAACCAAGGGGGCCATGTGTCAATTAAGCAATAGTGTTGGCAAAAGTCACACCTAGCCGGAAATTCACGAAATATCACTGAATTTTTTAAACTCTTAGGGGTCACTTTTATATATAGCGGCCTAGCAGTGAGAGCGACTCCAACAGGGTCTCTACTTGAGCCATCATCCTACTTTTGAGGGCTCAGAGACAAAAACTGCACTCCAACAGGGCCCCTACTGGAGCCCTCAAATTTGAGAGGGCCCTCAGATCCCCTCCCACCCCTCATTCCGAGGGGCTCTGATTCAAGCCCTCAAATCACGGTTTTGTGGCTGTTCTTTGCCCGTGTTTCCTTCATGCTCGTGACTTCTCTCGCTCGTGCACATCTCGTGAGGCCCGTGATGCCCCTCTCCAACTACTTCCTCGCCGTGTCCGCATGCCGCCGAGAGGACACCGACGGCTCCTTCTCCAGGCATGCCACCTCCCTAGCGCGTGCTCCTCTCCACCGGGAGAGCCCTCCCGCCGCTTGAGTCTGTCGGCATGACGACTCACGAGGGCGAGGCAGAGCGACCTCACGAAGGAGAAAAAGGAAGTGGCAGAGAGTATGACGAACGGGCCCATGTGTCAAGTGTCTTTAAAAAGAATTTAAGGGCTCTAATTTGAGTTCTCTTTTTGGAGTTGGTCTGAGGGGCGTGATACTGATCCGATTCAGGTCGAACCGGCGACTTGTTCGTTACAAGCGCAGAGCGGAGTGATACCGGAGCACCGCACTAACCGTTGCCGTTGGGTTTCCGAAACGACGAGCGCAGCAGAGCTGCTGGTGCTGCTCGTGGTGAGCCGGTGGTGTACCACCGGAACTAGGCGGGGCCCACGGGGCCAACCTCACTAAGCGCAGCCGCTAATTACAAAACGCAGCTCACCACGGGTCCTCTCCCTCCCGCAGTCCCGCTCTCCAGTCTCCACCGCCACCACCGACGCCGGGATGAAGGCCGTGCCAGCCGACTGCGCCGCGTCTCCGGTGCCAGCGACCAAGATCACCATGCCCGCTTGCGCGGCCGGCGGCGCGGAGGCGGTGCTCCTCGGGAAGGGCCGGTACAAGGTCTGGGCCTTGGCCGCCATCGCGCTCCTCGCGCTCTGGTCCATGTCCGCCGCCTCCGTCTCGCTCCGCTGGTCCTCCTCGGGCGACCTCGCCTCCGTCTACGGGGACCTGGACGTCCCGCTCGCCGAGGACCTCGATTCCCTCGTACGCACGCACGCTCCCTTCTACCTTTGCCCGCCCGGCCGGCCGCTTCCCTCGGGAGAGATCCCCGCATGCTGTTTTCTTCTGTCTGATTTGTTATATACTGCGTGAATGTGTGCCATCAACTATTTGCGTGACGGGGTTAATCTCCTGTCGGCTGGAGTTTGCGTTGAATTTAGGAGGAGATCGTTCCTTTCGTCCTCCTCCTTTCAGTTTCGGGGATTACCCAACAGATATGGGGGCAAAGGCTTGGTGAAACTGAAACTGAACAATTGGTTTAGCCTGTAGTCCTGCCAAGTTCAGGTAGTTTCAGATGAATGCCAGGGAATTTTGCAATTGATTGAACTTAGTGAGTTTGTTTATTAGACTATCCGTGAGAAAACACAGGCAAAACGATATACAATACTGAGTATTAGATATACTCCTTACCAGCTTTGTAGGTTCCACTCACTTGTCCAAGAATGTTGCTATTTTGCCAACTTTATCTTAAGAAGAACATGAAAGATTCAGTTAGGGTTTTGAAAAAATCTCGCCGTAAACCAGCCTGTTAGAAATCCCCCCCCTGGGTAGTGGAAGCACAAATCTTGTACTGCGAGCGATACTGAGCCTACCATATTCAGATTTCGTATTTGGTCTGAATTCAATTCAACAAGACTGCCTGCGGAATACCCATTACTGAGTGGTTGCCAGGTGTCCAGAGTTACCATCAAGATCACTTTTTTTTTTGATGAAACAGGAGGGGTTGCCCCCTACTGGACTTTTATTAATATATAAACTTGAAAAAAAAAAGTTACAAAGGACACAAAGGACACAAAGAAAATCATGAAAATTATACAAAGTTGTCTAGCCATTGATCAAACATAGGCTGATAATTATCTCTAGCTCTTAGCTTAACTAGAGCTAACTCCTTTCGAAAGGTAAATTTGCAAGAGCCCACTGAATGTTGAAGATTTCTGAAGATAATGTCATTCCTGGCAGCCCAAATGGCCCAGCAGAAATGGTTTCCATAAAGAAAGGCTGCTGAATATGATCCCTGAAAGCAGAAATGGTTTGTAGCAAATCAACTAATTTTAGGATTCATTGGTGTACCATCAAGATCACATTGGTTGAACTTGGTTAGTAAACAACCTTAGCATGTCACTAATTTTAGGATTCATTGGTGTGCCACAGAAATACAGCCAGGTGTCTTTGTATGTTTTATTTGATCTTAGAAGGGCGGGCCTGGTGCAAGCGGTAGAGACTTACCGCCTGTGACCGGAAGGTCCCGGCTTCGAGTCGCGGTCTCCTCGCATTGCACAGGCGACGGTAAGGCTTGCCACCCAGACCCCGCACAAAGCGGGAGCTCTCTGCACTGGGTACACCCTTTTAGAAATAATAAATTTTCATTGCTTTATATGGTTCTCTGGTACCAAGTCCACTAGTCCAGTACCACACTTCAAAATTGTTAAAATGATTGAATGGTTGATTACCTGATTCACTGTTGTCTTGTCTAGCATAAAGCACGAAAGGCATACTTCAATGCTGTATTTCTTGCGTGGATGCTTATGCTTGTCTTACAATATGACCAGGAGATGGAGGAGAGGGAGAAATTAGTGGGACGAATGTGAGACATGTACACACGTACCAGTGATGAGGTACGGCTTCCACGGTTCTGGCAGGAGGCGTTTGAGGCTGCATACAAGGAACTTGCTGGTGATGATGTGCAGGTCCGTGATGCAGCTATCTCTGAGATTGCCCGAATGTCAACCCACAAACTTGAACTCAAGCAGACATTGAATGAGAATGAGGTATGCCCAAAAACTGTATCTCATCTTAATTGCTTCCAAAAGCCTTATGTTTTAAGTAAACTATAATGCATTCTGCGTTTTCCCTTATTTTGTGAGAGTGACACTTCTTACCATGTCAACTCATTCCACTTCAAACAGAATATTGTTATGAAGCCAAGGCATGCATTTCTATCCCATTTTCGAGCAATGGTCCGAATTCATATGACGCCTGACAACATAGGTTGTGGTTTATATTTTCATCAGAGATGCTATTTGAACCTAATGACTGATGGAACTGATGACTCAAAGTATAGAATTCACAATCTTGTTGAAATGGTGGTACAGATTATGATGCTTTGATTGTAATGCGGTGCAAGTTTCTGCTTACCTGCAAATTGCTTCTCTTCTTTAATGTGAATTATTTTGGCACAGCGCCGTCAGCATTTTTGGTGAAACTGATAGTGATATTGTGAATGGTTCGGTTTGCACATTGTCTTGTACCCACGCTCTGTTTGGTATAGTTTCATAAATAATCCATCTATCTTTGACCAGCCTACATGATCAAGTATCTAAGTACAGAATATATATGACATATCAGTTGCTCAATCTACACCAGAACGTGGATAGTTTGCACTGACCCTAGGCCCCTAACTGATCTGGTTTATTCTTGGGACTCAACGACTGTGCACTAAACATATTGCTCAGAAACATTAAATAAGGGTTATCAGCACGATTTTCTTATTTCCAGTCACCTTGTGCAGGAAGAGAATGCCGTGAGAAACAGAGGTGGCAGGTCAAAGGCGAATTAGTAGTTTCACAAATACCTGTGGCCTGAGGACCTGAAGATCTATTGCTGATAAGATCCCCAGGAGGTGCATTTTGGGGGCTTTGAAGTGTCTGATGAAATTATGAAACTGGTTGGTCACTGGATCTGTACCAGGTAGTAGATCAACAAGGTGCATTTATGGCACTGTGTAACACTAGCTATGAAGTTGCACAATTTAGTGAGAGCAATGCGTATGAATCCATACTAGGAAATCCGAATTGAATGTCATTACATTTACCATCACTAATTTGATGATCAGGTCGCATCAGGAGACTCAAGGAACCGGATTGCTATGATGTGACCATGGTCTCAGTAATGTTCAAGATGCTATTGTATTCTTCTCTGCTAACTACTGTACAACTTAGCTCGACTTCAAAGTCGTCATCATAAATCTAATCTAATAGCTCAACTGCTAAACCTTTTGCAGCAATTGTGGAAAAAATGCTAGCGGCGAATTCCAAGGAGGGCGTGGCAAAGCCGCGCCAAGTTTTTCTAGTGCACTAGCTAATCCAGGTCGCGCCAGCTGGGCTTGCATTTTTTTTTTTTTGGGAACAGCATTTGTTGTTGTTTCGAGAGTTGATGTTGCTGCCGATTTGCTCATACCATTGAGGACGCCCTAACCCCTAACCTTGCCTCGAGATGATCTACCTCAAAGGATAAGTTCTCCGGCAACCACTTAGCTCCCAAGTTGAGAACCCAAGAAGTAATGAAATTTGTTACGAATCACGAATGTGTATATACCGTGTGTAGTGTTGTAGAGTATATATGCTAAAAAGAGTCTGCTACAATATATCCGATCCCTCGTGCAAGAATGAAGAACCACCCCCGCCCAGAACAATCCACCCGTACGTGTATGATGTCTCTCATGAGGTCAGGTGTCCCATATCATGACGACGGCGATGACAGCCACGCCAAGCACGACGGCGAGCCACCTCCCGACGGGCGTGTCGACGGCGACGGGCCTCCGTGGCCGGTACCCTTTGGAGAGGAGGTGGCTGATGGAGACATAGACGAAGACGCCCGTGGCGAGGCCCATGGAGACGGCGAAGATCCAGTCGGCCACCCGGCCCTGCGTGGTGGCGTCGATGATGATGCCGATGCCGACGCCGATGGGGCTGGAGATGGCGAACGCGAAGGCGTAGGCGAAGCAGGAGAGGAGGGGCCGGTTGGGGAGCATCCGGAGCAGCGCGATGCCCATGGCGATGGCCGCGAAGATCTTGTGCAAGCTGATGGTCCACAGCGCCTTCCATGCGTCAGCCTTCGTCTCTGCAGGTTCAATAATTAGTTTCGTAATAAGGTCAGAGTCTCAGACAGTCACTAGCACTTAGCAATGTTCTGCAACTGTTAAGCTCAACCAAGAATTGGAGATGCTATGTTACGAGAAATTCAGAATTGTGCACTGATTTTCAAACAATATCAGCCTCTCGGTTTAAATTGATTGAAACGGGTTCCGAAATGCTAAGGAAGAGAGCAGTTGAAATGCCTTCAGAATTCATACGAAATGGTGATCTTGACATTTGGACTGTTGAAGTGGACGCTGAAGGGCATGTCAGGAAGACAACTTCAGAGCGTCCGGATGGACATTTAAACCTAAGATTCAGAACAAGTAAAAGTATGGATGACAACGACTGAACTGAAACATCGTGCGGACAAATATCAGGAAAGGTCAGCAAAGACGGTTGGTTTGGAAGAATGATCAGCCTACTATTCTGGTTGTGCTGAATCTGTAGGCTCTTTTCGCTCTGACCGAACAGCGAGACACTAGCGCAAATTTGACAAGAGAGCCAAGGACAGATTCCACTTGGTCTTAGTCACAACCATGACATCTATCACTAGAATCAAGCTAAGAACTAACGTAACCGGTGTTCAGTTGAGACTTCAGATTGAGTCCATCCTTCCAAGCAAGTATGCCATACGTCCATGTCATGCATCTCATTTGTGCCAAACGTTGGGCATCTAATCTTCTACTCAGTACTCAGACTAAACTAAGTTTGGCAGCTTAGCCCGTGACATGACGGTGACGTCTGCTGATAGCCCCGGAATGAACGTAAAGAAATTTCTACGCGTCATCTGCAAGTTGGAAGGGAACAACGCAGGGAACAAAGCATCCGTATATGTATATCTCTATCTGGCTTAGCCTTACTGGCGACCCCGATGGCGATGCCTTCGAAGACGGAGTGGAAGCAGAGGGCGACTATGAGCAGCACGCTGTCACCGATGGTGCTCGCGTTGCGCAGCATGGATGCGGCCGAGTGATCAGATCCGTGCGTCTCCTGCACGCGAAGAAGCCAAATCAAATGGTGACAAAGGTCACAAGATTCTGTACACTGAGCGACTGTAAGATACTATACTGCTAGTGTTGTTCTTTTTTATTCTCTTTTCTTGGGAGTAGACTGTATTATATATTGTTGTTGCAAGAGCAGGTGTTGTCATGGTCAAATAATGAATTCAGAAATTGAAGCAGCATGTAGTAACTTACAGGTGGCGTGGGATCAGAGATTGTGCCATTTGTGGCTCCCATCTTGCCCTCCTCCAGCCCTATTGAAAGTGTCAAAAAGAGAGAATGAATCGTAGAACTCTAAGCATCCTAAAATTTCAATACAGAGAAAATATGACAATGAATATACAGTACTGTAGAGAGGGACAGACAGACTTCCGCTGATGGCTGACTATTCAGAGTTGAGCATAGATTGATTCCACACAGAGGTGAACTGGATAACTCTCAGTTTGTCACAACGTCGAGATTTCTGTTTCGATCCACTACTCTAACTATATGTTCCATTAATCAATCAATCTCGCTACTACGTATATGAAGGAAAATAAAACTCTCAAGAATAGGATTGCTGCAAACTGTGTAAACCTGAACTTGCAGTCTGCCTTGCTTTCACGTGATCTTACAACGTGAAATCAGACAGAAACAAGAGTCTGAGCTCAACCATTTCCATTTTGCAATAAGCATTAGCAATTGGTTTAGGTTAGGCAGTGGTGCAGTAGTGCATGTACTACAGTACACTAGCATAGCAATGAATAAAAAGAGTAAATTTATCCCAAGAGGCAAGAACCCCAACTCCCCTAGTCCCCACCAGCACCGATCTGAATTTTGCAGCCTGTGCTAGTTGCACCCACCCGGCAACAGGAAAAAGTGCCAGTGGTGAGCGCATTGAACCAAACCCCCAGCCGCCACATTCACAGCAGTCAGTACACCGTCCAGCCCAACCCCAACTGTCAGAAATCAGAACAGAACGAACAGAGGCTGTTCCTACTCGACTCGTACAGTCGTACTACTACAAGGCACAAGCTGATGAGAGCTGACACGTGACTCTTGTTACTGACCTTCAGCGGAGCCGGGGGAACCGGCGGTGCGGCCCCGTGAGACGACGTAGGAGATGGCGACGTCTGCGAACATGGTGACGACGTAGCCGGCGCTGGCGAGCATGAACGCCCAGGGGTAGCCGCTGTCGGGGAGCAGGTCCCCGAACGTCTCGTTGGCGTCGCTGAGGAAGTGCATGAGCGCGGTGCCGAGGAAGACGCCGCCCGCGAACTGCGTGCCCAGCGCGAGGAACGCCTCGTTCCAGCGCATGAAGTAGGGGGACACCCCGCCCAGCAGCGTGCCCGCGAACACCACCACCAGGCACCACAGCTTGGCCTCCACCAGCCCCCGCGCGCGCAGGTCAGGCCGGGAGGCGCCCCCATCATCCCCCGCGTCGGCGTCGTCGGAGTCAGAGTCCCCGCCTCCACCGTGCGCCCACGCGGCGGCCGCGAGGGAGAGGCAGAGGAGGAGGAGGAGGAGGTGGTGGGCGTTGGTGGCGCGGGCCATGGCGCGAGGAGGCTGTGGACTCGTCGTATCGTAGTGGGTGTTGTTGGCCGGACGCCGGACGGACCCGGGAAATGGTAGCGGGACGCGCCCGCGGCGGGTTTGGATTTATTTGGTACGAGGCGAGGCGGGGGTGGAAGGCCGGAGAGCTTGGAGATATGGCTGACGTGTGGGCCCGCGGTACTTTTGTGCTGCAGCGGGAGGGATCCACGGAGTTGGCCAGTTGGGTTTACGTACAGGTACAGGAGCGTTTGCATTTGTTGGACACTGACAAGGTGGGGTAGAGTGCTGTGGGCAGCGACGGGGTTGTACTGGAAGCAGGTGAACGCGCGGTGCTGTGCTGGTAGTACTCCTACAAAGTCACGGGGCCCACAGCAGTAGTACAGATTGGGACAGGGGATTGGAAAGTCCGTTGCATCCGATCCGCGTCAGCTGCCTCTGCTCTCTCTCTCTCTGCCTGCCATGTTGGGCCCTGCCCTTCTATTTTCTCTAGCTCCAGCTATGCTGTGGCCACGAATGATCCGCTAGCCTGTGCAGTAATGTTTCCAGTTATTCACACTGTTTGCTTTTTTAATAATATTTTTCTCAAACAACAATTTAGCTCTTTTAGCCACGGCTATTCAGCCAAACGAACAGAACAATTGACTGCTCCATCTCTCTTCCATTAGTGTGTGTATATATATATATTCCCGTCTGAGGTCAGCGGAGTTGGTAGAAAGCACGGTTGGCGCCAATTCAATCATCAGGTAGTAGAAGAACTTTGCTAGCGAGGGATTCTTTCTCTTATGTCTCAACGTAAGGTGGATGATGTCGGGTACCTTCTTATATCTACCCATAGGGCTCACAAATATGTGAAAGCTACTTTACCGAGTTCCCCGATTCTAATTCCAACTTTTACCTACAAACATACTTCCCTGCCAGCGAATCAAAAAAAATATCACTTTCCCAAATGGAAGTCAATATCTCTCCGTCTTTTCTTATTAATCTTTCATTCATTGGATGATGTGCGTTTCATCAAGTATGAACTTCTTTCTTTCTCTCTCTCTATATATATATAGAGACACACACAAGTACTCGTATGCATAATGATGTCAAAAAATTTATGAGCAAGCATATATGCCTGTTCGTTTGGCTTATAAGCCGTACTTTTTTAGCCAACGAATAATATTTTTCTCTCACAACAAATCAGCCAACAGTACTTTCAGCCATGGCTTAGCAGCCAAGTGAACAGGACAATAGTATGGTACTCCTATAACATTTTTCTATGGAGACATTGCCCATAAAGTACTGCTTACAGCTGGTTTCCCTGAACTTGTAAGGATGAAAAAAGGCCAAGTTTGACGACATTGGGTAGAATTTCCGGTGCTTAGCAAAGTTGTCCATCAAGATAACAGAATTAGAAAAAATGGGACCATACTATATACAGTACATCCCTTTTTCTCTCTGTTGGTGTTTCGAGTAAACATCAACGAGTAAATTTATGTTATTGCACGTCTGGTCTGGATGGTGTGCTAAAAAGACACAAGATTTATACTGGTTCGGGCAGAATGTCCATATGTCCAGTTCATGGCTGCTGCTCGTGTTATTAGCACTGAAAAGTTCATAGTAGGGGTTACAAACAGGCGAGAGAGGAACATGTCCCAAGTCTCTGATAGAAAGGTCGAATGGGTGCTGAGAGCTTGGTTGCTGCTCCGCTATGTGTGATATTTACATCAGAATTTGGGAGAAAGATTTCAGAGGCTCGAAAGCTCCCAAAACCATGTCAGCAAGGGATCAATTGTGTGTAGATCAAAAACAGCTGATTCGGATGCAGCACTAGAATCGGTTTTCTTCAGATAGTGCCAGCGGATAACAACAGAAGCTATGATCGGCGCTGGGACGAGACATGCTGGACTCTACAAAAAGGAAAAGAATAGAGTCCAAGTTATCTTAAATTAGGAATGTTTTTATTTTTATGCCAAAGATTATAACAAGTCGTGTTCGAGTAGGATTCATGTCTAGACATCGGGTATAAATATCAAACCCCGGCTATTGTAAAAGAAACACAATCAATCAAATACAAGTCAATTTACATTTTCGGCTCCGGCCACCCCTTAGGAGTAGGAGTAGAGTAGATCTCGGCGAGTTCTTCAGCGAGTACGGCTGCATCGATCCGGTCGACCTCCACTGCTCGTCTGTAAGTACCGTCATGGTTTATACCTCTGTTCGTATGGCTACATCGATCCGGTCGACCCCCACTACGACTCTGGTATATGCTAGTTATCGACTCTTGCCTAGTTCAAATATGGCCTGTGTGATTCTGCCTCACACCCCACTGCTTGAACTAGACCAAGGTCAAGTTATTGGCTCTACCCTTGAATGGCACTCTCTGGTAGATTCATTAAGTTACCGATATTGCTTATTGCTTTCATTGTTTATCTAATTATAGCAATATCACTCTGCCCGATTGAGATTGATCTGGATCAGCCTTATATCTTATTTAACCCATCATTTGCTAATCTATAACTGATCTAATCTACACCTTAAACGACGAGTTATGTTTTTATCGGCTGTTTTATATCAATCTTAATCGTGCATAGCATGCGGTTAAGGCATGTTCAATCTTGAGTAGATCTATCGGTTAGCGAGAACCGTTCCATGGCCTGTTATCACGGCCTATGGGATTCTGCCTCTCACCCCACTGTTAGCACCGTGGAGTGGGGATCGTTAGTTGATAGATCCATTCCTGAGAAGGCATGACGTTAACTGTGCGCTATGTCTGAATCGGCTGTTTAGCCGATATCGAGCGTTTTCATGAACAGTTCACATTACGAGACCATTGAAGTAAAGATAAGTTGAAAGATATGTTAGCCCCATGATCTTGTTATTGTATTACAGCCTGCATGATTCTGCCTCATGCCCCACTGATATTAGTAATGAGTTAGGGTCGTCGAGTCTATTGTTGTTTCTACGGCCTACATAATTCTGCCTCAAGCCCCACTGGTCATGGCGATAGATAAGATCTAACATGTTCATTAGATTTATCTTTATTAAATGGTTAAGTGGTGTTGAATTGTTTCTTTATATAAAAGGAGTTCGGTTACTTGTAATCATTGGCTTAGTTTAAATCGATCATCGTGGATATCTTATTGCCTTTGATTAATTCTTGCTCAAATTATATTTATCCTGAAAGATAACCGATTCTTCTTACACAACCCCATGAGCTTTAACCGATTTATTCTTATGAATATGCTGGAATCGACTATTTAGTCGGTTTTCTCTCATACCGGCTCTCAGAGCCGCACATTCGGGACTCTCTGGCACATCGGCACGTTCCGCCCTTAATTACTGATAAGCTTTCTCTCCTTGTCAATTGTAGGGTCAAATTGATTGGCACGTCTCGGGAGGATTGCGCAGGATCAACCACCCTTGCGCTGAAGCTAGGTGGATCTGCTCCATCGAGCGGACCCTTCCGGCTTGCTACGTGTGTCCTCGGCACGGAGACAAAAATTCTGTGTCGACGGATATGATGCGTGATGTGTTGAATCGATCCCCTTAGTGGGGTGCCCTGCTTTTCCTTTTATAGGCCAAGGGAGAGCAGGGATTACAGATGGGAGAAAAACAAAAGAAAACCAGAGGCAAAGGAGGTCATTCAAGGATGTTGGGTCTTCCTTTTCCTCTGTGCGGGCCCCGCTGACATGGCAGGCGGTGGCAGGGATAGCCCCATGCCGGGCACATGTTCATTAACCCTGACAGGGCCACGCTGAGCGTCTGTTCGCTGACAATGTCATGTCATGGCATTATCAGCTAGTTGTCAAGTCTCATCCCGCCCCAACGGGCGACGCGGCGGACCAGGATGTTGATCCGCGGCCATACAGGGAGCAGACGGCGTAGGGACCGCACGTCCGTACTATAGGTGATAAGAGTTTCCTCCTAGACAGTAGTGGTTGTCGTGAGCTTCCGTCAGGATCCATGCCCGAGGGCAAATGGCGGCGCCCACAACACTGTAAGACAAATGTCGACGCCTACAACACTGTTTGGGCTCTGTCATGCCTGGAAGGTTGTAAAACGCCCTTATATCATGTCATGACAAGATTTCCCTCAAAGCGCAGAGTACGATCCTCGTGTCTGCGGTTGACTTGAGTGCCTCGCCTTATCTGCTTGTCGTTATGAAGGAGTCGCGTTGTGCGCCGGGCGAGGCGGAGCCGGCCCTCGGACGTCGGGCGAGGCGGAGTCAGCCCCCAGATGTCGGACGAGGCGGGGCCGATCCTCGGACGTCGGGCGAGGCGGAACCGGCGGAGAGCTCGGAGATATGGTCGGGCGTGTGGGCCCATGGTACTTTTTGTCTTTGCGCAATGGAGAGGATCCTCGGAGCTGGCCATTGGGTTTACGTCTGTACAGAGCGTTTGCATTTGTTGGACAACGACAAGGTGGGGTAGAGAAGTCTTTGTGGTCGGCTCACTGCTTTAACTTGTTGGTTTGACCCGGCTCAAACCAACCCGATAGCAAGAGTTTTTTCCTCTCACAAAAAACTAGCACCAAATAATTTCAAACCAAAGACCAAAGACCAACCAAATGAACAGGCCCAACAGTGAACGTGCGGTCTTTGTGTACAAAGCCACGGGGCCACGGCGATGAAGGCTGATTGGGACGAGGGATTGAAAGTCCGTTGCATCCGATCCGCGTCTGCCGCCTCTGCTCTCTCTCTCTCTTGCCATGTTGGGCCCCCCCTTCTATTTTCTCTTGCTCCACTATCTGTGGCCACGAATGATCCGCTAGCATGTGCAGTAATGTTTCCAGTTATTCGCACTGTTTGCTCTTTTTCGACTAACGAATAATATTTTTCTCAAACAACAATTTAGCTAAACAGTACTTTTAGCCACGGCTATTCAGCCAAACGAACAGAGCAATTGACTGCTCCATCTCTCTTCCATTAGTGTGTGTATATATATATATTCCCGTCTAGGGTTGGCGGAGTTGGTAGAAAGCACGGTTGGCGCCAATTCAATCATCAGGTAGTAGAA